CCACAGCCTGAATCCCCCATCAGCACCACCCAGCAAAGCTCAGGAGCCAGGGCTGCCCCTGCAGTCCCACATTCCACATCAGCTTTCCTAGAGCTAATCCTCCCCAGAAACATTTTAACACCAGAGCCAGCAGAACCCAACACTCTTTTGCCCACAATCCAAGGCAGACTCCTGTTGGATTCCAAGTGCTCAGCATGTGCTGATGAGGCACGCATTCCCTCAGAAACACAGGTGCTGAACATGGCATCCATTTGGATTTGCAGGAGTTATTGCAGAAATGGAAGTTCTGCCTCCAATTTTACTCAGTACAGAAGAAACCCGAAATGAGAAATCTGATTTGTTACTCTTTCATGTCAAAACTGAACCTGCTTGGGGGGTGGGTGAGATCAAAAAGGGATGTATTTCTATAGCTACAGTTTCATATGACAATATAGGAGCCTAAAATGTAATTGGATTTAATGGACTAAAATACTATGTTTAAATGGCAACCACATATATAACTATAGCTACTACATAAAAAAGCCTTGTAAAAATTATCATGTGTTAAGTGTTTTGGGTTATTTTTTGATCTTTGAGAGAGGTATTTTAAATTACTCAGCTTCAGATAAAGCTTGCCATGTGCAGGCCCAGGTTTCTCTCTCATAAATCCATTCCACCCAAACAATCAGTGACAAGTCTGTCACAGGAGATCTTGGACTACTGGACTATGTGTCACAGTCTGATCCCAGCTTTACTGTGATGCACTACAGACAATTTTAAAATGGCATATGAAACCTCCCCCCGCCGCCCCCCCCCCCATTATACTTTCTACCAGTGCTACCATCTGATGCTGTAACTCACAGAATTTAATCCTGGAACTTACACACAACATACATATGCATCTAAATACACAAAGAGTTTACGTAAAAATATATATATATATCTGGCTTCACTGCAATATGTATAGTTTTTTCACTGAAGAAAGGTTTGAGGTTGAACAAAAAATAGTAAGCACATTTTAAAAAGAAGTTCAATACATTTACCTGTTAAAATGGGTACTGGGAGATCAGAGAGGGAAGTTCAAATAATCCAAATTTATGCAAAATACTAAGTTGTCCAGTCTATGATTCAACTTTCAAAGACTGGTCAATCCAATTTCAATTTACTTTGATGAGCTGCTACAAATCTTCCAATTAGACATCAGGTCATTTATATGCTACAGTGCTTGGCAATTATTATTTTTATGGCTTAAACCCAGCCTATTTCAGCAATGGGACCAGCCATCATTTTTATACAAGTAAAAATTACAACATAATTAATTTCTAATGTATAGACTAAATATGTCAATTTTAACATTCTCCCTAATTAGGCAAAAAATGTTCACAGTAACATTTCAATGGCAAAATAGCTATAGACTTTTGTATTTTTCATTAAAGAAAATTATAATCTGAACTTAGTAATGTTATATTAGTGGATTTTTTTTAACATTTAAAAAAGGAATATCATTAGAGCAAAATGCACTGAATACTGGGACAAGGGCATATACAGTGTATACTTATATATATTTTAGTAATAATTATTGACTATTAAGTTTGGGGCAATAATTTATTCCATACAATTCAAGAACTTCCCTATTCTCCTCTCTGAAGCAGGTAGGATTTCTTTTAGAGAAAGCTGACAGGTAAGAGGATATGAACTTTCCGAACATATTTATGAGGTGGACTTTTTTTGTTGCTTATTTCCTGAAAATTGCCAGCATCTATCTTGCATTGTTTTGTGCCCAGTGCACTGAAAAAAAATCAAAATTTGCCTTTGAAAATAAGGTAATTTTCTATATGAAAACAAGAGACAAACAAGTGCCACTAAGAAAGTAAAACAAGAATGGAAATGTTGTTTCTGAAAAGATCCTGATACTATCTGATGGGTTTTCTTTTAAATTAGGAATACCTTTAATTTAGCTGTGCAGTGTAAGTGCATCTTGGAGTTTCCAGAAAGGCCTCGGTAACAGGAACTGGCTAGCATAAGAAGCTGTAAAGCATTATAAACAAATTCAGAGAAGTGCTGCAGATAATCTGACCTGAAAATACCAATTTTAGAAGACTATGAGGCACGTCTGTTCAAAGGGCTACAATTCACATTCTAAAAACCATGTTCTGTTGGTATCACTATTACAGGAGACAGAACAAGAGACAATGCATTACCCTAAGCAACTCTCCTGGCTTCTACTGGTAAGCCATTTTCTATACCCAGCAAGATTTTGGATTTTGTCTCATACATACAAACATCAAAAATGTTTCCTCTATCATTTTACTTTAATTATCCATTATAAATTACCATAATGAATATTCTACTGTTGCCTATTTGTCAGTGGCACAACTAACAGGTATTTACACCACCATTCTATTTTAATTTTGCCATATTTTATCTTGTCTGCAATATACACAAGAAACTGACAGAAAATTATCAACTTTCATTTGGTTTTTTTAAACTAAATAAAATTAGCAAAATCATAACTCACACGGAAAAAAATCACATTTGTCTTCTTTGTTTATTGTACAGTATCAACTATCCCTGTGTTTGATTTATAAAATTCCTTTTCTTAAATGTATTTTGTTTCGTTAAGGATGATTCCCTGTGGCATGAGATAAAATTCAGTATCACTTAACTTACAGAGAAAGTATTCTATGGACACTGGATTATGTGCTGTGAGAAAAAAAAATAGCATTACTAAATTAAACATTAAAACCAAACCGCTAGTCTGATTTCATCTAGCTGGGCAGAATTACAGTATTTTGGTACCTACCTAAGAGTTTGCTTTGATGGACCTTTAAAAAAGAATAGATTTTTATCTATTTAACCTATAGGGTATTTCATGATAAAGTACATTTTTCTATCATGTTACAAATTATATTTATCCATGGTAGATTGCACAGCCAATATTGCTACTAATTATAATTCATTTCAAAGGCCCTCCAGCAATTAATAGAAATAGACAAAGGAAAGAAATAAAATATTGTTTAAGAATGTTGAAGGAGAACTGCAGAACAACATTTTCATCTGGTATTAAAATTGATTGCATTGATCACAAAAAGGCTGGATTTCTTACAAAGGCATGGCCTGCAAAGAAAGGCTAAAAGACTGGTGCAATTCTGTCTCAGCAGAAAGAAGCAGCAGTCAGAGAAGTAATTTTTCTCTCCCCAGAGCAGTCTGAGTTGTTACTGAGAGTCCTAAATATTGTTTTCAGCCCACATTCTGAAATGCTGATGGATGATACATGCAAGGCAAAGCAAAAGTCATTGGGAAAGGAGTGAAGAATCCTCAACACCACGATACGGTGCTCACCAAAAAACACCACCGCGCACTCCAAACAGAGACTCACAGGAGGCCAGAAGAGAAGACAGCCACAGTGAGCAATATGAACAGAATGCCAGAAATTCTGATTCAGGTCTTGAAACCCAGCTGAGCAACTGGCAGGTTTTCAACATCTGGGATGTGAGACTGCAGCAGATGGGAAGCCAGAGAGTGAATTAAAAGTCAAACCAGAAGAAGGCTGTATTTTTAAAAAGAAGAGATATAACTGTATTATACAGAGGGAAAACATAATAATGCCTTAGAGACAAGAGGTACTATTTGAACTGGTGCTTAAAGAACACAGGGAGCTCAAAATGTGCCTCGTGGCTTGTATTTCTACAGCTACACTTAATAAAAGTCTGGATTTATAGTGCTATCTCTTGGAGATATCTAGGAGAATCTATGAAATGTTAAGAAGCATTACAAGAGAAAAATCATAGCAATCAAGCACAAGCAAGGGATTTTGGGGAACAGCAAGAACCAGATGTAAGCAAGGCATGTATTAGGTTAGCTGTATCAACAGATAGAGAAGAACAGGGTTGACAAAGTTTACCTCAGGGGGAAAAAAACGGTAAAACGGCAAGGAAACAAATGAGCTTAAAAGCAGAGAGCATCTGCTTCAGTCAGCGGAAAGGAGACAGGCTGGGGGAGGCAATTGTTTGCTGCCAGTATCCTGCCACAGGAGTCTGGCAGGCTGACTGAATTGATTTTCTTTCTTTGAACATCACCCATTTTCAGATGAAGTGATAAATCTTAGCTTGTTACCATAGACTAATGTGTTACACCTTTTTATACCCAAATAGTTTTTACTGAAGTGTTTTCAAGTGGAAAGAATGTTTCTCAGGTGGAAGGCTATTTCTTAGGTGAAAGGAGGTTCTAACTAATAAGAAAATTACTTTTCTTTCAGTGGCCAGTAAATCCAATAATTCCAAAAAAAGGAAAGGTTTACTTGAGATAGTGAAAAAACAATTTATCTCAATACATATTACATTCACATTCACTGACAGCTAAAATCAATGTGCATACAAACTGAAAGAAGGGACTAAGCAGGGGGGGAAAAAAATCCCCAACCTTCCCCCACAGACACCCATGAATTTCAAAAGCATGCAATAAATTTTAACAAGATGAATGAGGGCCTCTAAGAACTCTGAAGGGAGGACGAGTGTTTCAACTCTACTTGGCAACAACAATCAATTAGGATGCACCTACCTGCATAAGTAATCAGGCTGATTTTTACCCCATACTGTCTGTAAGGAGGTAAATCAGGAAAGACTTGTGACTCATCACAAAACTGTTTTGTGCCAAGTAAGATTCATCATTTTTTTCTCTGTGTAAACAAAATACGTTCACAACCTATCTTCACTCAAGCTTTTAAGTATGACAATTACTAATATTTCTGAATAAGATGTATTTTTCAATGTACATCATCAGTGATCTAAATAAGGTTTTACATAAATACAGGGAGTGCAACTGCACACAAAATAAAATGGAAAAAATGGCTGGAACTGTTTCCTTACATTTGTTCAACATTTTGTTACTCAACTTCACAGGCTGGCATCTACTACTATAAAGGAAACACATTTTGATTTGGGAGGATCAAAGGAAAGGTACGGAGCTCAGATTTTCCTTGTGTCATGTTGAAATGTGCAATAGTCTATAGTTCATCACCTCTGAGCACAATGTGATATTGGCAGCTGCTTCAAGCTGGCTACGATGTGCAAAGTTCACTGTCATGACCGGCTGACTGCTCAACTGTCAAGGAAAAATTAACAAATACAAAAATGGGAACATGTGGCAGTTTTAGAAACACACTTTTCAATAAAGCCTACTGTGAACTATAGACTATTGCACATTTCAACATGACACAAGGAAAATAAGGGGCTCAAAAGAGAATACACTTTGTAACATAGAAATATACAGACTAGCTTGTGCACAGAAATCAAAACATGGTTACAAGACACCACTGCAGTCAAACCTGTCTTATAGTCTGCTTATGATCTTAGTGACCTTAAGAAACTGGTCCAAACTGATTATCAGCAATACTTTTTTTTGTTACTTTTTTTTTAAAAAAATATTTTGAGACCACATCTTTGATACACATATATATATTCCGTGGTCAAAACAGACAGACTTAACTTTAGCGATACTAAATAAAAGTGCAAAAACGTTCAAAAAATAAAACAAAATAAAAAAATATGGAAGCATAAGCTAAAAATTTTCTGCATAGCTGAAATCTATTTAAAGCGAGTCCTTGGTAGGGGTTGCTGACAGGAGGAGAAAGCAGTTTTTTAAAATGTCTTCTGCACGTTTGTTTCAAATAATGCAAAAAAAAGGTCATTTGTTGGCTTTTGAAGTGTTTCACAGGCAGTTCACCCCTGCGTCCTTAGAGACCATAGTGGTGGCAGTGCCCCCCTCTGCAAGGTACACAGCAGTGCTGGATTTGGGGGGCACTGCCTGCTCACTGCCGTTGTTGTTGACCTCGCAGTGCAGCGGCTCCGTGGAGATGACCCACGTTGACGGACGCCACCGCTTGAGAGAGTATGGAGTTTTCACACGTTTCTTGATCTTCTCTCCTGAGCCTGATTTGCCATCCTGTGAAGAGTCACCCACTGAAGGAAAAGAAAAAAACAAACCAAAACAAAAAAACAGAACAGAAAATAGCATTATGAGGAAGGCAAGATTAGATCGGAGTCTGGGGTTGTTACTTATGTGAAACAGAATAAAAGAACAAAACCTTTAAACACAGAAGCAACTGTGTGGCAGAGGCATGACAGGTCTATCAACTACAGCAGCTGCCACTAAAACAAAGGGTTGGATTTCTCTCAGAAATTACTTCAGTGAAGTAATTTGTGTTACCTGGAACGCACAATGGCATCAAACAGGAGAATCAGCATTTGACATTTGAGGGGCTTTTGCAATCATAGTATCTTACATTACCTGTAATGGGAGGTACAAAAGAACATTGCTACTACAGGACAGCAAAGGCTAAAATTTAAATAGTGCAAAGTTAGGTCCCCTAATCCTATTCCACCTAGCAAAGCATTTCACCTGAAAACAAAATAGTCCATTCTCTGTTAAGATATTAAGTCAGGATTTGGAATGCTGGATTGCAAAACTGGCAAAACCAACTTTAACCATGATAAAACTTCAACTGTAGAAATCTGATGGTTAAAAAATTTTACACAATCCCTTCTTTTAACTTAACCTTCAATTAAAGAAAGTGACTGCAACAATATTTTTTCTTTATCTCAGTAAGATTTCAACTCACATCAACAGGTTAAGACAAAAATTAAGTATTCTTACTTAAAAGGAAGGCTTAAGCATTCCATTGCTGAATATTCAACTACATTTCTTGAAAGATATGTTCTTGCTTGGTTTTAAACCTTTTATTTCCAAAGATGCCTGGCATCCCAGTTTACTCCACTATTATCACAGCATCTTCCTAAACACAGTCATGAGATTTGCAAGCACCTTTCAAGACTACAGTGACTTCTGGAAATATATTTTCTTTAAAATGGACACCAGGAGGTCTTTCCAATAGCTCAAACAGGCTCAAATCTAGAGGATGTACCTAATTTAACTATAACTACATGATTACATTTTTAACGTAAAAGGGTGAACCCCATTTTAATCTCTTGGACCTCTGGACATAAAACTTTGAGAAAGTTATTCTGAAATAAACTATTAAAATAAATTCCTTCTCTAATTACTTGGTTTAATGTTAAATGCACATGGCAAACTGATGAAGAATTGCTCTAATTATTTGAGCTAGGACAGCAAAATAGAAAATGCCTCCTCCATTTAGGCTGGGCTAATACAGTAAAATCAGTTACTTTAAAATCACGAAGCATATAAGTAGTTATTATAATAAATAATTTTAATCAACGCATCTTAGAGACAGCTACTCTTTAGAGAATGAGGGAAAGAAGAATGAGGGAAAAGAAGGTATAATGTGCCCCTGCAGAAAAAAAATGGGACACTTTTTCAATATGCTTTGCAGCTACCAAAGGCATTTGCAAGGAATAATGGAAGTTAACCTAGAGTCAGAATGGATGGGTTAGAAAGAGACAGATTTATTCTGTGTATGTGGAGGGATGATAGTGATCTAATATACGGGAAATTATGGAAACAGGACTTCATCAAAAAGGCTGAAATCATGCTGAGAGAAATAACATTTATATGAGATTTAATAACTATGCTTTGAGGAGAGACGGGAGAGATGGAAATAATTTCTATTCAAGCAGATATATGCAGTTATTAGGTAGAAAGGTGTCAGGGAAACATCAGTCCTGCAGGCACTTACACTGCATACTACTGCTATCCAAACTACTTGTGGCTGACAGATCCAGAGAATTAGGCCTCTGTGCTCTTCTAGTCTGGGTCTGCCCAGGATTTCTCACTACATTCTGGACACTGGCTGCAGCTGTGTCTGCGCACGGATTGCTGTTGTTGTTGTTGGCGTTTGTTCGCCCGTTATCCAGTGGTCGCTCCCTCCTGTCCACCAGGCGGTCCAGAACACCTTCATCGTGGCCAACCTGCTGCTCCCGCCTCAGCAAGGGCTCATGCTCATCGGGACTGGAATTGATATTCAGCCGACTGTCCTCCCCACTGAACTGGTTCTGAAGCATTTCCTGGGCCCTCTGCGCTACCGACCCGCCGGTCTGGCCGGAGGGCAGCGTGCCATTGACATACTGGGTTGTGCCAGCATGGGAGTTCATGCCGTGGCTCCTTCCAGCCACTCCGTTCATGGTGACTGTCACGACATGAGGTTCTGCAGCATTGATAGTGTTCATCTTGGCAACGCCCGTTTCCACTTGCTTCAAATTTGATTTGTGCTTACCACCAAACTTTAACCGTGGCTCTTTTGTTGAATTTTTGGTGTTTAGAGGGAGGCTGGTAGGCCTCTTCGGAAGGTTCTGTTGCTTGGGCAGAGGATAGACCTGAGCAGATGGGACATCTGGAATCAAACACGCCTGACCATTGGTAGCTTGTGTGAAGTCCTGCTGTCCTGTCACCTCTACTGCAAGTTTTATCAGTGGATAAAGAAGGCTGGAACTAGTGCTGCTGAGTGGATCTGGCCCACTAAACTGCTTAAGTGAATGTTCCATCAGATTCTCATCAGAGCTTTCTTTCAGGTTCTTATCCACTTCTTTTGGATCCAATTTATTTGTCTCCAAGTCCTCCTCTGTTAGCTGCAGACAAACAGGGGTAGGCCCACCTGGCTGCATGACATTTGTGGTGTGTAAGTTTGTTTCATCTGAATAAGGCATTTCAGATATGGTGGTCATGCCAGTGCTAGGAGTGAGGCCAGTTGTATTGGTGGTGGACAAACTGGTGACGCTCGTCTCAGGACTGGGGATGCGAGCTTGTGCTTGTTGCCGCTCGTAGTTAATGGAATTTCTATTCTTTTCCCCTGAAGTCAGTGGTGTAGTGGACATTGAATGTTCAGAAGAAATGTTCTTCACTATGCTGTCAGTGTGGTGGATTGAATCTTCAATGTAGGAAGAGGAAGAATAATCGGGATATGGCCTTATCTTTGACACACGTCTATGATGCGACAGATTCCTTTAAGAAAAAATAAGTGGTATTAAGATCATATGTGTAAATATCACCTCATACTATAATGCCTCTCATTTAAGAGAGCTGAGTATCTTTCTTTTCATGCTTAAACTAAGGATAAATACAGCACAAACTGATGTGTTCCAGCCACTTCACTGAAAAGTGCTGAGGATAAGAAAATTTGTTTTACTAGGGCAAAATTTCATCAAGAATTTAATTTCCTAACAGAACAGTAATCCACTATTTGTCCAATGTGCTGCTTATCCAGTTGGCAAAGTACTGATAAGGTTCTGTTCTAGATGCAGAGAAGTGATGCTGAAGAAGGTCAACAAAAACCCAAAAGACAAGATCAAGAAAGTGATGCTGGGAAAATGTCACAAGGTCCTAAAAAACCATGAAAACTCTGCTACTTTGACAATTTAGATATTCTATTATTTGAACATAATATTTTTTCACGACAATAAACACTGTCATATACAACAACATTATCCTTTTCTCAAAACTGGATTTCTAGAGTATATTATTAAAGGCACTTTGAGTCTGCAAATTCTCATTCCCTCTGGATCACATAAGAGCAGAGAACATGCATCACTTCTCTTGCTGGGGTCAGAGTAACAATGACTCAAACAATGGCCCTGCAGTTTGTTACAAAACTCTTTGTAGTTTTGAAAAATCACAGGTTTGAGACTTGGTAATTTCCTGAACTCATATGACTGCAAATTCAGTTTTTAGCAGAACACTTTAAACAGAAGTTTTATGCATCATTTAACAAGAGTACTTAAAGACAATTCACTTTGTCACTTCATATCATGGCAAGCCTGCTGAGACAGTTTGCCTGAGCTCAGTTTCAAAAGCCCCTCTGTGAGAAATACAGTTGTGTACATAAAAGGTGTCTGAACTCTGGGGACATGCAGGAGATCTTAAGAACACAAGCAGTTGGGATTATGTCATGCAATACCCATATGCAGAGTAGGTCATGTAACACACACCCCTTAATGGGCGCAGCAAGCTGTAGCTTCTGTCCTGGAGTGAGCTGAGCACTGCATTGGGCATTTCCTGCTGTTTAAACCCAAATGTGTTCTCTTCTTACCTCTCATTTTGCATGGCAGTTGACATAGGGTTGACTGTTGGACTAACTGATTTATTTCTCTCCCAAATCATCATGAGTTCTGCCATTCTCTCCTCAGCACACTGTGCTGTCAGTCGAGCTTCTGCATCTTGATCCCAACAGTCTTCAATTGTTTCTTTAAGTGACCTCACAGCCTGCCAGGAGACAAAACCCCTTTAAGTTATTTTACTTTTATACTGTGCTTCTAATTTACTGTTTTATGGCAACATTCTGCATGCCTGAAAACAGTCACAAGCTGGTGAAAGAGAGAAACAGAAGATACACAATTTCATTCAAAGCTAATTTAACCTAATATTAGCAATATGCAAGTCTAATAGTATCACACCTCTCACACACACACACACCAACTGGGAAGACACTTAGGGAAAGCTACATTCACCAATGTCCATACAACCTTCAGCCAGCCCTCTGATGGATGTGTGCTCTGCTCACTCCCCCTGCCTTATGAGAGCTTTGTAGGATTGCTGATATTTTGGAAATGCTGCCATGGTTATCCTCATAGTTCTGCTAATGGTCACTGCCTCGCTCCCCTGCACCGCATGCAAATAACAGCCGTGCTCACTTCATCATCCTTGTCTTCTTCTGGTTCCACAGTGACATCCGAATGTCTCCTAAGTATCAATGAATTTGTCTGCTCCATGGGAGGAGATTTTTGTTGCACTTGTTTTACAGGTGTAGAAACAGAAACACACACGTGTTCCTGGCACCACACTGCGGGACGAACTGTACAGTCAGAATTAGAGCTCAAGACCTCCAAAACATGCTGCCATATGTTCAGGGAACTGGAGAGGAAACAACTGAAATTACGAGCACTGAACACTTCTTCCACTCCATCTGGAGTACAAAAGCCAGGCAGACATTTATGGGCCCCTGCTGCCAGTCTATGCCCATGGAGAGGAGCTGGTTTGCCAGCACAACTCACATCTACAGCCCAGCTTTAACCTCTCCAGCACTGAGGGCTGAATATAATCCCATCTGGGCACTAATGCATTCAGTGGGTCCTGCCGACTGTCTCTGTGCCAGAACTGCCTTGTGCCCTTCTGGCAGTGGAAGCCAGGACTAGCTCTGAGCATGAGCCAAGAGCTCCTCACCCATGGAGTGGGCTCCTGGCATCACTTGCATCTGGCAATCACTGCTGCTCAGTGAGGCAGCTCTGGCTGCACAGGTGGGGACGACCTCCCACACAAGCAAACCTTCCATCTCCCCTCCCACAGCAGATCAGAGAGGGGATAAGCCAATGCCCTCTCCTTAGCTGAGGGACATGAGTCTAAAAGCACCCTCAGGGATAAGGACAAGGGAGGGTGCTAGATCCATTTTCTCTCCCACAACAAAATGCCTTCATTCAGCTTTTAGGACTTGATTTCATCACAATTTAGACTAAGGCAGTGGACGCCCTAATCTCCTGCCTTGCCTCTTTGCAAGACTCTCCTACAGGTTTCACCAGCAGCAAATTCAACCAGAGTTTAATTTAGTACTGTCTGTCCCCCAGCAGATCCTCTGCTTTGGATGTGTTAAGGATCATTAAAGAACACAGTACTGACTATAGAGAGAGTGATCAAAATTCAAGTTCCTTAGCACCACATTTACCACAATTGTGTGTTTTCTATTAGTTTCAGGTTCAAAGACAACTATGCTAAAATGAACTATTTACAAGTACTAGCACTCATCAAAAAGATAGAAGGGACCAGAAATCTCCATTATTCTGTTAATATCCGTCAGTGCTGACCTCTGAAGTCAAGCATGGATCCCACTTCGGCAAGTGAGACAAGAATACCATAACATGTCAACACATTTTATAGCCTTTGAATTGCTCAGGCTATTTCTTTATACTGTGAAAAACAATGCTGCTAATCAAGGTCTGTAACATAACATAGATGGTTCCAGAAGCAGACCAAGACTGTATAGGCAACCACAAATCAGGATCCCACATCTTCTGAGTACCTTAATAATAGGATTAAAAAAGAAAACGTTTTTATTTGTATTTTGCAAAAGAAAAGGACAAATTCATTTGTTTCATCGGTGACTTTGCATGAAGGTGTTATAACCCAACATGTCAGCAGAGCTTTAAATAATGGGAAAAAGTCTTTTATCCCATGCATTAGATGCAGGAGGACAGGACCTGGCTCCAGAGTGAGGTTGTCTGGAGCTTAATTTTCTACACTATCTGCCCTAGAGTGCTCATTCAGGTATTATCCTAGACTGGAATAGGATAGAAGAAGTTGTTTGACACCTGTGATTATTCTTTTCTCTTAAAGCAATGGTGTAGATCAATTCTTAGAGCTGGAGTTATCATCACCATTTTTATTATTGAGAAAAAGCAGCAACACAAAGAATGTGTTAGGCACTTTAAATATGGGGATCATCTAATAAAGCTGGAGTCTATCAGCTTGCTAGAACATAATTAACTTTTAAAATGATAGTCAACACAAAACAAACCTTGAACTGTTTCAGTTTTAACTGCCTTCAGAAACAGCTGTCAAGCTTGGTTCTTCCAATGATCCATTGCCAACATGGCTATAGTTAAAACAGCTGTTGTTTGATTTCCCTTATACTTTGGGTGCTGATTTCTCCTTTTTTCTTCTTCCCCCTTTGCCCCCGAAACTGGCTGGCCAGAAGTGTTTAATAAATCACCTCTCTTGGAAGCTCTCAGCTCGGTTACAACACATTTTACTACAGGCTATGCTCCTCTCTGAAAGCAGGCTCCTACATATTTGCAAGTACCAGCACAGGTGAACCTTGGGCTCCTCCTCGTCTGCACAGTTAGCTACAAACTTATCAATCACCAAAGTCTCTCTGAAGATTGAAGGGCATCATTTCAATAAGGGAATAACAAGAAGTATCTTTAAATAACAGGATGAATGTCAAGAATGTCATTTTCATGCTTGCAATTAAGATGTATTACCCTGTATCAGATGGAACCCAGTAACTGTTTGCACTGCACTGTGCTTGTAATAAAAGACAAACACCCCCCTCTAAGCCAAGGGGATTCACATTACCTGACCTTTGCTGCAGATGAAAGCAAGCACAGACTCTCACCTGACTTGCTCTAACTTGCTGGTCTGCAGAAGCAAGGAACTAAGCCATAGCTACACTCATTCAAAACAACAAACAATATTATGATGTTTATAGTCTTGAAAATAAAAATTGCAGGTCAAATGAAGCCATATAAAAAATTTTATGTAGTTATAATGAAATGATTGTTAGAAGCTTTAGCCTCTGCAAGTCCTGAGGACTATACAAGTTCAAAAAAGTTTATTACAATGTTTACCAATTTTAGTTTTGGTAGAGTATATTGATGTTTTTGCCAGCTATTTCAGTTTATGTTTTAGTTCAGTTTTATTAGTTTATAAGTTGTCAAAAGGCAAAAAATGGCTTCATGTTTCTCCTTCAGCACACAGAGAACACATGGGCACTTCATGCATAATACTACAGGATAGTGTCTAAAATTAATGTAACAGGTTATCTTCTGTATATCACATTGCAGCATGCAACAACAACAACAGTAGTATTTGTCCTTAAAAGAAATTTAGTTTTCGCATCAATAGCTTTTAAAAACTGAATTCAATATTTAAGAAGTCCAGGCAGAGACAGCTCCCAATCCTTAAATACTAACAAAGAGGAAAAAAACCCCCAAAACCTAAAAAATTGCTTTTAAGAAATGAATACACCCTAAAGCTGGTTAAATCATTGTTTCTTTGAAAATATTCTCTCTCACCAGGCTGTTCTCCTTCCATGCTTCTGGGAATTTTGGTCTTTGCTTCTCTCTAGACACCAAGACTTGCATGTCTTCAAAAGTGGGATGGTTTCCGACTTCAGTCTGGAAAGCCATCTGGTACTCTGGCACAGATTCCCCTGTTAGCAAAAGAAAGAAAGGAAAAAAAAAATCAGTCATAGATTAAAAGGCAAAGGCTTTCAGCTGATGAAAGGCATTATCAAATTATAAAAGTTGCTGTCTATTGAGATGTTCCCCACTTTCCCCAAAGTCTAACTTCCAAAAAAAGCTGAATTAACTGCAAATGAATTAAGTCCTGCTCAGCAACCTTCCAAAAGATAGCATCCTTTGATAGACTTTGCTGGTTTGGTGGCACATTTGGAATGTCTTGGAGCCTGAAGGTGACACCTCCTTTCTGTGAAATGCCACTGCCTGATTATATGCATGTACTTCGTTCGGGAGTAAGCCCAGCAAGATTACAAGCCTCTGCACATAAAGTACAGCTGTGGAACTGTAGAGAGTATGCTGCATTTTAGATTCATTCTACATGCTGTAGCTTGGGAAGAAAATGGTGGATGTAGCACAATCTCATGTGAAAATTTTAAGTCTACTTCCTTTTGCCTTATGTTATGGGTAGAGAGGATTTTTCAATTTAGGGAATTTTCAATGTCCTATCATAAATAAAAGTACAACTAACTAAAGGCTATATTAAGTCACAGCATGTTCTCATGATGACAAGTCTGAAAGACACTTCAGGCACTTATATCAGTTCTCAGAACTGGAAACACTGCCTTTGCCACCAGCCCAACTCCCAGCATTTTTAAACTCTGGACAATAATAACAAGAACAACAACAATAATAACACTCAAACGGCACTGAACAGGTGCCTTTCAGCAGAACCACGCCTCGGCCTCAGATGCACCGTCCTGACAAGCACCACCTCGAACACTAGATGGCACCGACTTAATGGCAAAAGCAATTGAGGAAGCTGCTTCCCTTCTCCACTTCCAAGAGCTCGGGCTCTAAAGTAGCTTTGGCTGCTGGTGCCACTTCCTAGATCATGGTTTTCCTCAGTTCTTTTCCTTACCTGGGAAGAGGTCTGTACATCTCATGAAGATCTCCCAGTAGATAAGGCCTAGTGCATACATATCTACTTGTTTCAAAGCAGATTCACAGTCCCTCAAGTTCACTGCTCCTTCAAGCACTTCTGGGGCCATATAGCGGATCGTACCGACCTGGGAAAACATCAAATCAAAGCTTCACATCAGGAAGTGGTTTCCAAATTCGAGTGAGTTCTTAAATGCCCTATTCTGCTTGTTATTTTTTACAAGGAAAGCACAGCTCGTTCCAAATCAATGTACTCAGCTTACCTGTCTAGTCATAACAAAACCCTTCCCCATCTCTGTCACTTTTTTGTATGTACCAAAACAAAATTATTTTGTCCCTTAATGTTCTCATATGAAATATGATATAGTATAAGTGTTTCTTTTTCCTGAAATTATTCTGTTAAACACCAAGGTATGCATCATAATGGAAAAGGATCCTGCTGAATAGGAAACTTGTTCTCTACTCCTGGACTGTCAGCAAGGTGCCACCCTACGTCTTCTATAGTCAAAGGTTATCAACAGTCCTGGAAGATACCTATTCATTTTCACTAGGATATGTTTTATATCAGAGCACTTAGTCATCAGTACTTGTAGGACAGCATTTTGTCAAAGGATTATTCCCCATCCCCGCATTTTAACTAGCAGTTTCTCTGTTCAGTATGAGAAGATCTAGATGGAGCTCTTCTGCACTAGCTATTTTCAATTTAGCACTTGCTTTCTAAGGGAGGGTGATTAACACTGTGTAGCATGTTCTTTGAATGATAAATGAAGTTTTTCTGTAAAAGCACAGACAATAACTACACTGAACTATTAGGCATTCTTTGTTTAAAACAGTCTCACTGTATTTCAGTAGCCTGGATTGGATGTCAAGCAGAAGATGCAGAATGTGGTGTCACCATTTCAGAAAAATTAACCCCAAAACAAAAGAATGTTTGGTCTTCAGTTACAAGTACAAGACTGAAGGAACCTGTACCACATAATGCAAGAGAACATGGCAACCAAACCTACCTTGTGTCTTCTCATGTCTCACACAGAAACTTCAGTCTGCCAATCTATCACCTTTCAAAATGGCAGGTTTCTGATGAGTATTTTGAGAACAAAACCTGTTTCTTTCTATGGAGGCTTCAGCCACTTTTCACGCATACTGCAGTCATTCCCCATTACAGAAATTGTACCACCTGAACATTCATCCAACCATCTGTACTTACCTCACTAATGGCTGCATTGTCTTCCTCACCTGGTCGTACCAGTCTGTTCCCAGTTAATTTCATGGAGAGTCCAAAGTCACTGATTACACATGTTCCATCATTCTTTACCAGTACATTGCGGCTGTTCAAGTCACGATGGGATATTGCAGGTTTGTAATGATCTATTTGGACACACAGAAGTGCTTGTTACTATTTGAGCAATTCTACTGTTTGGCAAAATGAGAGAACCTCATTATGTCTGCTCTGCTATTATAAACAGAGAATCAACTTATTTTTTAGGAAGCTAACATTTTTGCTTTTTTACAATGAGCTCCGGAGGAGGCTATCTAGAGAAAACTGACTGGCATCCAGAGTTTCACTGGATATATATGATATATTAGGCTACCGCCTTATACAGTTCTAATGTTCACCAACAGTCTTCCTCCCAATGGATATTTCAGCATGATTTTGGCAGTGAAGACACGGTATACTTAAACACAGATCTGCTGTCGTTATAACCTAATAACCATTCCAAATGCTCTCTGTCATTTCCACACTCCTGCGTCAAATGCAGCACCAATTATTTACATTATAATTGGAATTACTGCTGGCACTTATTCAGAAGATACACAGACAATATTATTCCAGAGCCTGAACATATTCATCTTGCAAGGGATCTGATCTTTTCCAAAGAATAATCTTGCTTGTTCCTAGTTTTTATTATTTTGTTAGTAAAGCAGCCAGCAGTACAGAACTTGTTTTACTGTGGAATTTATTCTATTCCATGTATTCCTTCCTAGCATTCACAGACAGTGACTGTCTCTCCTTTATGATGGAACACTTACACATTTTCTGGCTGCTAATGGGCACACCTGTCTGCACATCTCAAAATGATGAAGTTAAGATGATAGCTGCAGTTTCAGTGGCACAAAGGAATATTGATTTGGGTATTTTCAGCACTTTTAATAGTATCTTTAGTTGTCATTCTTTGCTAATGCTCATGCTTAACATTTGAGATACACAGTTTGAAATTTTAATCCAAACATTAGCACCTTAATGTAGATAAAATGAAACCAGCCTTTTATTTCCTGCCAAAACCCTAACCTTTCAGTGCCAGGCCATATTCTGCAGCCTGATACATCACAGATCTCAGAATATCTACTTTACAATTACGACACTTTAGCTGCTGAAATACTGACTGAAGCATGCATGCAGAAAGATCCAAATCAATACACTGTCACAGCCAATACTCTAATAAAGTACCAGAAGTCCAGCAGTATTGTTTGTACACAGCAAAAACTAGCCCAAACCCTCAGACAAAAATCCAGAGACATGACAAATAAAACTACAGTGGGGTTAGCAGATTTAATTTTATAGTACACATTTCACACACAAACTAAAAATGTCTTTAGGTGATTTGTTTCTGAACTGCAAAAACAGACACAACACCTCATCTGTTTGCCCTCTGCTGGAGAGGCAGCCAGTGCTTCAGGTCTTCAGTAATCTGTTGCCATGATACAGCAGCACTGCACATCTCTGCCTCCTCCTGCCTCTCTCTGGGGCTCTCCCACCTCGCACTCTGTTTTCACACAAGGGTTACAGAGCCCACAGAATGGGGCTGTTCAGAAGGAGGGAACTAATCAGAAGTTCTGAGCAATCTCTATTTGCATTCATCACAGTAGGATAAAAAGAAAGTCTGGAATCTACTACCTGATAGAAATAAGAATATACTGGAGATCTTTGTTTCTGTTCCGGGCCTTACCTCCTCGAGGCAGCTCCGTGTGCAGGTACGCCAAGCCCCGAGTTATAGAGTGAGCCAAACGACAAGAGCTCACCCAGTCACTTGTGTGGAGACTCAAATATTTACACAAAGAACCCTAAAAAGAGCCCCCCCAAAAAAGACAAAAAACATGGATTAAAATCATTGTCCAGTAGAATAACTCAAAATCTTTTGGAGAAATAAAGGCATTTCACATTTATTCTTGTTGTTTACAGATTTTTAAGAACAATCCCTCTTATTAGCCTCCAAATGTCATCAGCTTGTTTTGTTTTTTTTTCTTGGCTTAGTGGGTTGAGACTCCAGCCCATTCTACTGGAGGCCACAGGACTGTTGTCATGATGTGACTGGGAAATATTCACTGTATTAAACCAGCTTCATGATCTTTCTGCTGCAGAGCCTGCCCACCACCAGATAATTTTTAAGCTAGCTAAAGGCTGTGATTTTATGCTTTTAGTGAAGTTAAAATGATAACCAGGGAAAGTTTTAGTCAAGATTTAGATATATGTATATATATATATATATATTTGTAATTAAGACTATCTTTTCAGAGTCATGAGTTACATGCTAAACTGAGGATATTTTTTCTGACTATAACTTTTGATAAAACTGATATTTTAACAATCAAAGATTCTATGTGTGATTTAGAACAATTTTTATGTTCTTCTAAAGGGACAAGAGTGTCTGACTACTGGGGCAATAATTCTGTGGCTATTATGTCATCACAAGTGACCCCCATACTGACCTACTACACCTCAGAGTCTCATCAGAGAAGCATGTTGATTGATAAATACACATATCATTCCTTTTGTTTGCCTATTTCCTTCGGTCTGAAGGCATGTTTGGATAAAAACACAACCTGGGTCAAACCTGTCTTCTTTCACCAAAGTAACACCAAGAACAATTTTCTGTGTAAAAATGCCCTGGTTTGTGTGTTCTTATTTCCACAAAGGAAAGTATTTTGAGGGAGAATCATGTTTTACATGGGGAATAGTTCACCTGCACATCTTGTATTGGTTAGTCCTTACTGAAATCAGATTTATGGCTCCAGGGTGACACTGCAATTCCCTTCTAGCAGGGCTGCCACAGCAGGCTTCCTTTTCTGCTGTTAACTCCACATACAGCAGAACATCTGCTCACTGAATTACAGATCACACTGTGCATTAATTACACCTGCTGTGCACTTTTTCCAATGACTTCCAAACAACCAGTGGATTGATTTTAGACTAATCTTGCTGTTCTTAATACCACAATTGGAAGGAATCTGATAATATGATGTCATAAGCTTCATCTGTACATTTAATCAGGTCATTAACAGAGCCTGTTTACCTAGGCAACAAGACACAATTTTCAGTCAAATTGCATTTCAACTGAAAATCTTTTCATTCAAGAAAACAGCAAAACCAGATCACCTGTGAAGACAGTTATGCTATGCCCTCCCAGGAGTAGAATACTCATTTGATTTTACTTAACTTTCATTTCATTACATGAAAATACATCAGTTTTGTCAGAATCACATGCCTTGCCACTGTCCACCTGGTATGGGCACAACTGACCTTTTTCATTGTCACTTCTAGTTTCTGCAATCTCTTCTTAGATGCCTGTCTTACAAACTGACATGATTGAGTGTGTCCTCGTGTAAAAGTTTCAGTTAAGACACTTTTTATATTTATACTTTGTTGCCTTAAGTCTGTATATAGTGTACATATGTGTAAATACATACCTGTGTTTAAGGTATGTATTTACATGGGTGCATTTAACTTTCAATACAAGCATATACACAGAGCCTAAAAACCCCTAAGACAGGCCATCATTACTGCTGCTTAGCACTGTTATGCTCCTTTTTGCTATTCAAATAAACAGCTTTTATCCTACTGCCTCCATAAAAGATCAGGCTTCAGGCATCCCCTTCACAGCCTGCAGGAAATACGAGTTTGCTTACTTGAGACGAAAAAGCTTGTTAAAAGAAATATTTAATTGAATAACTAAAGTTCTTTTCCATACACAGGCAAAAAAATCTCCCCAAGATAAATTGTGATACCATTTTTTGCTTTTTCATATATATTATCCCCATGTACATTTTATGACTTTCGAGGAAGCTACTCACATTCATACTGCATATTTTTTAAATGTTTCTGTTACTGTATATGTGTACACGCAGAACATTAAGTACACCAATCCATGAATTTGAGAAATACAAGCATTCAGTTAGCTGAGGAGAGTTGAAGATATGGTTCTGGAAAGTAAGGCTGCCTTCTTAAGACATGTCCTACATCATCTGTTTATGCCACAGAAAGCTTTAAAGAAGCTAACAGGATAAAAAAGGCACCATGATGCATAGTACCACAAACTAGATTGACATCTTGTATCTATTACATTTCACTGTAAAAATCCCCACTTTTTGCAGCTATTGAGTGAGGTCATAAGACAGAAATAATGTCTTAATATTAAGAAGTTTTAAATTTATTAGGTGATATTTTTAAGTAAAAACAACTCTTCAGATTCTGTCATTGAATAAGGAGAGAATTGACTAAAAAACCCTCTAAAGCCTGACTAAAAGTACTCCACAGCTAGGAATTTGTAAGACTATGTCTGGTAGCACTAACTAGGAAATCTAAAAGGGTATTACAGTTACGCACAATAAGGTCCATTAAAACTGTCATTTATATGGATTATTTTTACATTACTGTGCAAGAAGCACCACCAAAACCTAAAGTACATCCTTTTCACTTGGCTGTTCTCAGGATTCTTAACCAACCCAATTGATTTCTTTGAAGCACTTACATTGGGGTAATATTCCATCACCAATAAATATTCCATCCGGCCGTCTGCAGTGAATCTCTCATCCCCCACAATGAAGCGGGCGATGTTATCGTGTTCCATCAGTGGAATCCTGTAAATGTTCCTCTCATTGACAAAGTTCTGACGATTAGCAAAAGAAAATACTTTCACAGCAACTGGGCGTTCATCTAGGGAACCTTTATACACTGCTCCATATCGTCCCCGGCCAATCAACTGCAAATGCAAGCATAAACAATTAGTTCACAGAATAACAGATGAAGACAAAACCCAAGTTTTCACCCTTACAAGAACTGTATGCCAACTTTCACCCTGACTTATAGTATAAGAACAGTGAAGATAGTGAGTATTTTGTAATGAAAACCAGAATTAGAATGCTTTCATAGAGGCTTTTCTGGAGCTGGAAACCTCAGCACAAGCCAACATAGGTCTTACTAAATTGATTTATAGTCTGAATGTCCAGTAAAGATAGCATAAATAATCTATTCAGTACTTTTATATATATACAGAATCAATAAAATATGTGTTTTGTGCTGCTAATTCTCTTACTAACTTTTGCCTACTAAAGATTTATAGTTTTTATGTGATCAACTTCATTTCACTTGAGAAATCACAGACATTCAGGGAAACATTTAGGTTTAGGACAGTTTATAAGCTGTACCTTTCAGGTTAGTGGCAGCAAAAATACACATTTGTAGTGCAAAATAGATGCCAAGAGAGGTAAACAAATTTTAATAGAAGGAAGAAATTAATTCCTGACTACCTGTGAGTCTTTAATCTAGCCCCCACTATGTTAGACTGTCTTCAAGAATGGCCTTTCACATCTCCATAGTAACTGCAGAAGAAAGATGCGATCTCTACTCTAAACCAAAATGCAGAAACACCTCCAGGAAGAGCCCTAATTTCTAAAGCTCAAAAAATTCCAACTACATAAGAATTTAAGCCCCTATTAAAATAATTTTCAGGAAGCCTCATACATGAAACTGTAAAGATTTCATTAGCCATATTTAAATACTTACAATTGGAGGAGGAAGAGAAAACAGAAGGCATAACAAAAATAACGATTCTAAAGATGATAAAATCATCTTACAGGAAAGTTTTAAAAAATAAATCATTTAATGGAAAGACTTCCTGTTTCTCAGTTCTTTTATATCACTGGGTTGCAATGCAGCAGCAAGTCATTTCAAGGTACAAACCTGAAATGTAATCTACCCACAGAGATGTCAAAAGGCAAGCACAGGTTAAAACATTTGTCCTGCAACACCCTGTGACTGGGGGTAGAGGGTCAGCTCCCCTTCAAATACAAAAGCAGGACAGAAGGCACCATAGCAGATCTCTCTACCAAATTTCAGACTTGGAGAAAGTCACTGTTTCCTCCAAGACCGCATTATCAGTACAAGTGCTTGCATCTGGTGCTTTGTGCACCTCTACAATACCCCTTTGTTAGACTCTCGTAAACTGCGCCACAAGTACTTTTTGGGTGGCAGAAGACACCCAAGGTTCTATGCTGAACAGCCTGCTGTCACCCCTAGAGCAACTCACACTCCATGTCTGCAGTCTGCATCTCTAGGGGGGGTTGGTACTGGGAAAAAGAATAGCACCAGTCTGCATCTCAGTCATTCTACTCATTTTTTTTCCTGGCTAAAAGCTTTTAAAAATTCCATATGTTCCATCGAGCATACCAACTAGAAGCATGACATTTTGCAGTTTTGTGATGATACATCTAACACCAAGCTGAGCAGAAAGTTCTGGTTGGCCTCTAGTTGCCATGGAGCTAGATAGGGCCCCACACTGAAGAATGACTACACATAAATGCACCACTACTGAAATATACTGCCCTATCTGCAGTACATTCTATTTTCCAAGAGTGTTACTAAAGAATTTCAAATTCCTATAGTAGGACTGCATTAAAAAGCAAGCTGCATTAAAAAGAAAGCAATGTCAAGTAAAAAAGATGGATCTTTTGATGCAATGCTGAAATACAGCACACTCTAATTTCCCCCACTACCTCCCAGTGTTTCTTTTTTTTTGTTCTCAAGGTAAAACACTTTCCACCTAATACCAACAATATTACTAACAAATTTGACAAAATGTACCTGCAGTAATCCCTTTTTTATTTTAATTTCTTCTTGAAACTGTGATTTAAAAGAAAGCATTACAGGAGCGTGGATACATTCAGTTCTCTAATTATGCCTGGGATATGACCACACTATTATATTGAATAAAAATAAAGATTAATAACTGAATTGAATATTTACCTCTAACAGCTTTAGATTATCCAGATCCAATGAGGGCTCTGATGCTGCTGCCTCCATCATGTTCATACTGTGCAAACCTTGTTTACGGTCTCCTGGGGAAGAGGGTGAATAGGAAATTAGCCAGTTTCCTTTCTGGACATGCTCCAAGTGAAAAAAATGCAACCTACCTGGCAGCTGAATTACATACTGTAGGCAAGGATGCAACAAGTAAAAAGGAGTCCTGTAAAATCTCCTCAAAGTCAGCAAAATGAGCAGTGAAGGTGCTGATAAGCTATAAACTATAGACACCTGCTACACAACTATTTTGATAATTCAAAAGTCACTGGCAGTAACTATAAAGCATGTTGACCACCTGACTTAAACTGTGCTGAGCAGAGGATTTGTGGAAGAAAAATGGGTCCCAAAATGCCAGCTTAGATAAGTCATCATTCTCTCCAAACTGTTATGAGAGGGGTATCACCATAAAATGTCAGAGAGGACAAAGGGGAGCAACATTTTGTACAAGAGTATAGCAGGGACAGGGGAGAACAGAAGACCTAAGTATAACTTTGAGCAATAACCAAATGAACAACTGAAAAAAACAAAGCCAAAAAGATCATCAATCCCTACCTGCAAGCATCCTGTATCCAAAGAACAGAGCAGCTATCAGAACAGCCAGTACAGACACAGATGCCAGGGCAATAACGATGGTCTCATCTCGATGAAAAGAATGAGAAGAATCTGAAAGCAAACAAAATGAGGACTCTTAACTTGTAAATTTGAAAGAATCAACACTATAAAATACATAATTGTTATTACAACAATAAGAAAAATGTACTCTGGAGTGTCAAACATCCCCTGAACTCCTTTTCCTCTCAAAATCTATGGATGAGCCAATCAGCTCAAAACCACTGACAGCTTTTCCCAGCCTTTGCTTGCCCTGTAGCGAGAGGCACTGAGTGCAGAAAATTGTTCTTCTTTCTATCTGGCAAAGTTCCGCACAGCCATACAAGGCCAAGTTGATGCAGCCCTCCTCTGTTATCTGTGCCATAATCCAGTTTCTTGGTATGAATCAGGTTTGTCACCTTTACAAGGTTCTTTTGTTGTTTTTCCCAGGACAAAAATCTCATGAGCTTGCAAATCAGGTTGCAAATATGATGAAAACTGAATGCTTCACACTCAAATACCTAAAACATACACAAGTCCATTTAAGCAAATATTTCAAAATACTTTGGAGTTTTGATTTGTTTTGTGTCAGTGCTCAGATAATTTTTGGTATAATTCTTAGCTCTTAATACACAAAAAGACAGAAGTATTTCTACGGACTGAAGCAGAAAACCCAAAACAAGAATAAAACACTAAACAAAATTAAATAAAACTACTTTTATTAAATCTGCTTTAAAGAGCATTTGGCTTTTTGTCAAAATGAGTATCTTATTTTTCTTGGTTATCAGGTTTTATCAAGTTTTCTTGGTGGAGTTTTTAAGTTTGCCAGAAAGGAAAAAAAAATTCATGAGAACATTTGTTAGCACCTTGAAATGCTTCTCCATGTCAGACTCCAGTCTTGCTTCTTGCAGGCATATAAATATCCAGCCATGTTAATACAAAAAATTATTAGTGCAGATACTCCTCTGATGTCAGAATCACTGGAATGTGGCGCTACAAGACCTCATTTACTTTGGCTTCAAAACCAAGTTTGAGAACTATGTTTAAACATGTCTTATATACTGCAAAAAGTACTCCTTTAAAGACTGTAATGAGTCCTAACTATGCTAAAACCACAAAATATAAAATGCACACAAGACTTAAACATTGGATAAACTTTTAGGTGAGACTGAAATACAATTTATCCCAGTCTATCCTAGCTGAATAAACTGACAAATTCGCTTTTCTTGAATTGCATTTAAAAGAAATTCAACATGATTCACTATTTCTAATTCCCAGTATGGACAGACACAAGAGAACCAGATAAGAAGGAAAAGCAAATTTAAAAGGTGACAATTGACATTTTTACATAACCATAATGGTAAGGGGAAATAATGAAAAGCTGGTACAACAGAATGCCAGAGACAATTTCAGCTGTGACAGAAGTATGTGAAAAATCACCTTTCAAAACCAACAGGCAGCTCATATCTGATACTCCCTTTAAATAAAAAAGAGCTCATGATGATCACAATACCATCAAATTTAATTTTGTTCTGTCAAAAGAAATACCATCACTAATGATTTTGGTAAAATAACTTTCACAATGAAAATAAGTTCCTGCCATAGAACACTAATGTGGAATATGAGCTGTGACTTCCATAGTGAGAAGATTAAAAGATACACATTATAGATGTCATCTAAATTATGAATTCAAAACATAGACATACATATTGAAACCCACAACATCATAAAGGAAACTGTTACATCATACAAAGCTATATGAAACATGACACAAGTGTAAGCAGATGAGTAATTGCTGGCAGAGGAATGGTAGTTTTGACTTTCATATTTTTATGAATGGAATTTACATTTTATTGGGTTATCCTTTAAAATACATATTAAATGTGGTGGGTTTTGCATCAGTTCAAGACCGTGCTTAGCATTTACCAAGGACTAACAGGTTTTGAGAGACTGACCCCCTTTGGTTGTAATCCCAGCTGTATTTTCCTTGACTGCACAACTAGAGTGCAGCCATTTGCCACCTTCCCATTGCCAAATAACCAGCAATCATTTCCACCACGGTTTGCCAAATGGTATCTGATGCCCGAGTTTGACTGCTCTTCTTCAGTTTTCTGTATAATCAAAGGCTTAACAACATGCCTCCATCAGGAGGGCCCTCTGCCCTGGAATGGGATTTCTCTGTCAAAGGCCATCCTGAGCAACACGTTCCTCCACAGCTCTGGCTGCCTTGGCACACTCCACTCAGAAGCCTGTGAATGGTGACATTCTGCAGGCTGAAGAGATACCAGAAAATCTCAAGATAACATTTCTTTCCCATCAGCAGCTGAAAAACATGCAGAGAGAAAGGATCCTTTCTCTCTCCATCCTTGATGGACCATCCCCTCTGGAGGCTTCTTCTGTTTAGTGGGTAGCTTTGCAGCCAGCAGGTAACCCCACAGACCTCCCTGGTCTTCACGAGGAAAGAAGTTATAATTTCTTTTTAAGTGGAGTTGTTTCATAAGAATTTTAGACTGGCTTATCTTGAACTAATCTTCAATTCTTATAAATATTTTAAAATAACACTGTCAACATTCCAACAGCCAAATGAGTCCTACAGTGCAAGTTACTCCTGTCAGGGTGATGAGCAATATTTATAAATTTAAGAATAAATACAAATTTCTTAGTAAAGTGAGCATCTCAATGGAGTGATAACATGCAGCTCAAAACAGCATGAGTGAGTAAAATGCTGTGTGTGACAGCCAGTCATTTCCCAGCAAGGACAGCTATCTTTTGCTTGTAAATCTACTCTAAAAGGAAAGCACAAAACCTCCTCAATGACAAAAGGCCCAGACAGCTCCAATCCTTCCCTCCCCCCAACAAGTGTTATTTCTGTCAACCCCCTATCTGCTTCGTAAAACAGTAATTTAGAATGTTGTCAGATTATCAATCTTTCTTAAACAAAACCAAAAGGATATTTATCAAAAACCAAAAGAAATTTATCAACCCAGTTTAAAAACCTTCCAAAACTTAACAAAACTCTTATTAACTCCCTAACTTTGTAAATCCTCCTCTGGATAGATTTCATCTTTAGTTTTTATACCATATTCACTTTTAAATGCCTAGCTAAGAACCACACAGGACCTCTCAAGGCCTATGCAGATGTTCACATTTGCTCTTTTATCTACTTCTAAGTAATTAATTCAAGTTTTTAATATAAATATGCACAAGAGTCATATTTATCTCGATTTTATCTGGAGATGTGTTTTAACTAACTCACCAAAAGACACATCAGTGTAGGCCAATAAAAGTAATCACTTACCTTCAAGCAAGGCACTTTTAAAATAAGGATGTAAAATGCACACGTGTACAAGTCTCTGTTCATGCTTTCTTCCATGAACTTACAGTCTGGTTCAAAACAACCATGATTCATCGTGATTAGGACATTCATTATGAAAGCTATGATTTGGTATTACATTTTTCTGAGCTAAGACTTGGTTGGTCTTCAGCTGTTGACAATCCCTCCTTCATATCAGTGGACTCAGCTTTTCAAGTTTATTTGTGAGGACCAGACACGTGCCCTACAGCTTGAGTATTTTTTCATCATGTCATTGTACAAACTGACTTTAAACATGCCTAAAAACCACACAACAATCTCATTTGAATTTTTGGAATCATTACCAATATCTGGGTACTTAGTGACAAATACCAACTAATTTAAGAATACTGTTTTCAAATCTCAGACTGGAAGTGCCAGTATCTCAGTATTATTCCCAAACCAACGTATTGCATAAAAAAAGCAATACCATAAAGAGCAGAATTAGCTGCAGACTCTAGAAAATCCAATGATTATGGAGTTGGCTGCTGAGCTAAATTCTATCTACAGTTGTACACAGAAGATCTTGTCATAGCATGATTTATGTTACTGTAACTGAAAGGAAGGCTAGTGAAGGTGCTTGCTTCACTGCTATATGTAAGTGAGGCTTTTATTTCCAGCTTCAACTTAGGCTCCCTGATCTGCAACAAAATGTGCCACAACAAAAAATTAATACCAACAGAAACTGCTGTAAGGCCCAAACAACCTTAAAAGCCAGTTTCTTATCCCACTTGAATGGGTAGGAGAGCACTGCTCACAGGTCTACTGACTCTAAAAGCAGCAGTGAGAAGATGCCACGTGGAAGACACCCAGCATGTACACACCTCCGTCTTGAAGCATTTTGCCAATAATCCTGATAGTAGTCAGCAGTTTACTCAAGTCTACCAATCCCAAGACAAAGAAATATCACGGCAAACGGTGTCATTTTTTATTTTTTTTTAAAGTAAGAAAAAGAAACAAAGCACAACTCATTAAAACAGGACAACCTCCTTCTGGCTGGGGAGCAGCTGGTAACCAACAAGCCACCATTCCCAGAAGTGTCCTGACCTCATCATCAATAAAGGACTTGTTTTCAGGTTCCAAAAACCCGAGTACAACAGCTCCTGTGTGTGGAAAAGGTACACACAAATGACTGGGAATGTATTTCAGAGCAAATTGTGAAGAGGAATGCTTCTAGTATTCAGTTAGAAGTGAGTCATCTGGCTGAACCCAGCCCTGCACTTGGGACACTCCCTGCAGGCACTTCTACCACATTAAGCATTTCTCTCCCTTTTCTCAGGCATTGCTGCCACAACAGTTTCCAAGCACTTATACAATATCTTTGATGAATCAGGTTTTTGGATTAAGCTGCACATGGAAGTTGTCAAACTGCTGCCTTCCTAACCTTCCCCAGGAACAACACAGAAAAGAATACTGCCAGTGTTAATGGCATCGGGAAGGACAATGTTTTTTCTTCCAAGTAACTTTTCCACTATAAACATAAACTTTTAATATTAATTAATGCAAAAGTATTTCAATCTGAGCCTCTGCTGAAAAGGTTTTTTATTTCTCTCTTATTTAACTTTCAAAAATTAAAGCCTCTTTTGTAGGCTTCCTGTTTCCATACTTCAAAATTAGCATTTATCGTATGACCAAAGAATGTTGTGAGAAATCAGAGAAAACTGAGACAAAGCCAGGTAACGACAGCCAATGGCAAATGAGTCTGAAAACATACAGAACTCCT